AATCAACAGGAAGCTGTTGGGCGTCATTCACCGGAGTGTAACGTCCAGTTGCGACTCTATCCTGTAGCTTCTATGTCTCAGCTCAGCCTGACTCACAGACTACACACACACACACACACCTTGTTTGATGGAGCGGGGCTCAGAGGTGAGGATGATGAAGAACAGGATGAAGAGTCTGACCCTCAGCAGAGGAACAGGCAGAATGAGTGTTACACAGAAAACCACAGTCATCCTCCTAATCGGGACCAGATGGTTTCATTCAGCCTCACACACTTCAGAGAGAGGGAGGGCGAGAGAGCACCAGAGACACTGACAGAGAGAGAGAGAGATGAAAAGAGAGGAAGTGTTTGTAAAAGAAAAGGAGACGAATGCAGCTCCACCCAGGCACTGAGCCAGTTGTGTGTGTGGGTGGGTGGGTGTGTCTGTGTGTGAGTGTGATTGGCTGTTAATAGATTACAGTGGAACAGCAGCTGAGGTTTAATCCAGCCCACCAGCAGATCAGCTCAATGTGATCAGACCTCTGTGGACTGTGGAGGACTGAGTCTGTGTCTGAGAACGAGACTGAGAACGAGACCTGAGTCTGAGTCTGAGACTGAGTCTGAGTCTCAGTCTGAGTCTCAGTCTGAGACTGAGAACGAGACTGAGTCAGAGTCTGAGAACGAGTCTGAGAACGAGACTGAGAATGAGAACGAGACTGAGTCTGAGAACGAGTCTGAGTCTGAGAACGAGGCTGAGTCTGAGAACGAGACTGAGTCTGAGTATGAGTCTGAGAACGAGACTGAGTCTGAGAACGAGACAATCTGAGTCTGAGACTGAGTCTGAGAACGAGACTGAGTCTGAGACTGAATCTGAGTCTGAGAATGAGACTGAGTCTGAGTCTGAGAACAAGACTGAGTCCGAGAATGAGACTGAGTCTCAGACTGAGTTAGTTAGATAGTTAGCTAGTTAGTTAGTAACAGGTATGTGTGTGTGTGATGCTAACCCTTGAAGTCCAGTTTTACACACAAACAATACAAACTGGTAAACAGGATGTGAGCTGTGTGTGTGTGTGTGTGTATTTGTACTCCACCTCACAAAACTCCACCTCTGCAGGAAATGCTAGTCTCCATGGCAACGCTGCCGGGCAAGCTTCGGCTTGCACAACCCTCCCCCTGAGTTCTGAAAGGTCAAAGGTCACAACTGGCAAGGGTCCCAAGATGTAAACATGTTAACACAACACGCACGTACTGCTTGGGCTTCAGTAAGGTCACATAACCACAGCAACAGCAACACCCCCGACATAGAGGGGAGTGAATGAAAGTGTGTGTGTGACACTAATTTTCTGTTTGTGAACTACCCTCTGTGTGTGTGTGTGTGTGTGTGTGTGTGTGTGTGTGTGTGTGTGTGTGTGTGTGTGTGTGTGTGTGTGTGTGCCACTAATATCGCATCACACACTGAACATACAAAGTGTGTATGTATCTGCTTGGATCATAGACACCAACATCAGTTCAACATGTTGTTTTGTTGTGTTGTTTTTGCATTGTTGTTGTGGTGTTGATGCTGTGTTGTGTTTTTGTTGTATTTTTGTTGTGGTGTTGATGTGTTGTTGTGTTTTTGTTGTGTTGTTGTGTTTCTTGTTGTGTTTTGTTGTTGTTGTTGTGGGGTTGATGTTGTGTTGTTGCTGTGCTGTTGTTGTGTTGTAGATGTTTTGTTGTTGTTGTGTTGTTGTGACAGTACTGGATATAAAGGGTGAAACTGCTCTAACTTTTAGGAGCAGAGACTTGTAGTTATTGATCAGGCGACTGGAGAATAAAGAGGGCAGACAATCAATAGCTGCACATTATGATTAATTACTGCTGGTATACACACACACACACACACACACACACACACATACACACACACACACACACACACACACACAGAGCAGTGTATATGTATATGTGTGTCCTCAGGGTGTGCTCTGTCATCACTGTGCCAACACACACACAGACAGAGTGTATGGTATTTGACAGAATGACAGTGGAAACGTGTGTGTGTGTGTGTGTGTGTGTGTGTGTGTGTGTGAACGTGTGTGTGTGTGTCTAACCGATCCCTGGAGGTGTGTGTGTGTTTTTCTCTCATTTCCTGCCGAGGCGAGTCGAGACGAAGAACGCCCTGACAACAATCTGGTCCCTCTGAACCCCCCCCCCCCCACCCTACCCCCCCCCNTTTCCTGCCGAGGCGAGTCGAGACGAAGAACGCCCTGACAACAATCTGGTCCCTCTGAACCCCCCCCCCCCCCCCCCCCCCCCCCCCCCCCCCCCCCCCTGTTTTTCCCTGGTGGAGCGAGGCAGCAGCACACAGAGAGAGAGAGAGGTTTTGTTACCTGCTGCAGTAAAACAGAACAACTCCAGTTCATTGTGCCTGTATTGTAGAAGTAATAATACTCACCGTATCTCTACCAGGAGCAGTAGGAGCTGTAGTACTACTGCATTACTCCTCTAGTACTCTAGTACTACTATAGTATTACAGTGGTACTACTATATTATTACACTACTTCAGTTGTACTACAGTATTACAGTAGTACTACAGTACTATTAACTTAGTAGTTCACTGTTAACTCAGACAAAGAGACAGTTGGACGTGTTGAAGACACAGGGACAGTTAGAGGGAGGACAGATCTCTACACTTCAGACTCTCGGGCGATCGAGAGGCTGAGATTGCTTTTCTGTGTGTTCTCCTCTGAGAGAGAGAGAGCTGACCGTGTGTGTGTGTGTGTGCTCAGTTTGTTATATAGATGCAAATTCATAGAAGCAGATTAAACAGATTGTGTCTCGTATCTGTTGATGAGCTAACATTGCCCGGCGGGACATGTGTTTGTGTGTGTGTGTGTGTGTGTGTGTGTGTGTATTTAATGTGCCTTCTGTTACAAAGAAAGAAAATGAGCCTTCCAGCAATTTAATGTCAACGCTTTCAGATGACAGCTGCACACACACACACACACACACACACACACACACACACACACACACACACACACACACACACACACAGTCATTACAGTGAAGAGGCTGACGAGGCGTCAATGCCCCTGATGCCACAAAATATATTTACACACACACAGAATCAGAGTGAGGCTATGAATGGAGGATTTAGATGTCTTTGAGTCACAGTGGAAGGAGGAGGGTTTACATCCATTATCTGTGTGTGTGTGTGTGTGTGTTAACCAGCAGGAATGCTGGGAAATAGTAATGAACTGGAACTGTCTCCCTCTAAAGAACATTACATGTTTACAAGCTGCTGTCTCTGACCAACAAGGACCATCAGCTGATCAGAGACAACACAGAGACAGACGCAGAGATACAGAGACAGACACAGAGACAGTCACAGAGACACAGACACACAGAGACAGACAGAGACAGATGCAGAGACACAGAGACAGACGCAGAGACACAAAGACAGACGCAGAGACATAGAGACAGACACAGAGACGCAGAAACAGATGCAGAGACGCAGAAACAGACGTAGAGACACAGAGACAGACGCAGAGACACAAAGACAGACGCAGAGACAGACGCAGAGACATAGAGACAGACACAGAGACGCAGAAACAGATGCAGAGACACAGAGACAGACAGAGAGACAGAAACAGACAGAGAGACTCAGAGACAGAGAGACAGAGACACAGAGACAGTCACAGAGACACAGACACACAGAGACAGACAGAGACAGATGCAGAGACACAGAGACAGACACAGAGACGCAGAAACAGACGTAGAGACACAGAGACAGACGCAGAGACACAAAGACAGACGCAGAGACAGACGCAGAGACATAGAGACAGACACAGAGACGCAGAAACAGATGCAGAGACACAGAGACAGACAGAGAGACAGAAACAGACAGAGAGACTCAGAGAATCCATTATCGAGACACAGAGACAGACGCAGAGACAGACGCAGAGACATAGAGACAGACACAGAGACGCAGAAACAGATGCAGAGACACAGAGACAGACAGAGAGACAGAAACAGACAGAGAGACTCAGAGACAGAGAGACAGAGACACAGAGACAGACGCAGAGACAGACGCAGAAACAGAGGCAGAGACAGACACAGAGACAGACAGAGACACAGAGACAGACACAGAGATGCAGAAACAGACGCAGAGACACAGAGAAGAAGCAGAGACACAAAGACAGTCACAGAGACACAGACACACAGATACAGAGATATACACAGAGACAGACGCAGACACAGAGACAGACGCAGAGACACAGAGACAGACGCAGAGACACAGAGACAGACGCATAGACACAGAAACAGACGTAGAGACAGACAGACGCAGAGACACAGAGACAGACGCAGAGACACATAGACAGTCACAGAGACGCAGACACACAGATACAGAGACATACACAGAGACAGACACAGAGACAGACGCAGAGACACAGAAACAGACGCAGAGACACAGAGACAGACGCAGAGACACAGAAACAGACGCAGAGACACAGAGACAGACAGAGAAACAGAGACAGACGCAGAAACAGACACAGACACAGAGGCAGAGACAGACGCAGACACAGAGACAGACGCAGAGACACAGAGACAGTCACAGAGACACAGACACACAGATACAGAGACATACACAGAGACAGACGCAGACACAGAGACAGACGCAGAGACACAGAGACAGAGACAGACGCAGAGACACAGAGACAGACGCAGAGACACAGAGACAGACGCAGAGACACAGAAACAGACGCAGAGACACAGTGACAGACAGAGAGACAGACGCAGAAACAGACACAGAGGCAGAGACAGACACAGAGACAGACGCAGAGACAGAGAGACAGAGACACCAGGAGTTGTGCTGTAAACTTGGTTCAGTCAGAAACCTCTGAGGGTTTTTCCTTCATGAAACCACACGAGTCCCTGTCTCTGACACATCATCTTCTGCAACAGTTGTCCTCAAATCTGTGTCCCAGTCTCTAAACAAACTAACTGACTTGTCTGTCTACCTGTCTGGCTCTTTTTCAGCCTGTCTGTCTGGTCAGTCCCCAGACTGTACTCTGGTCCAGTCCAAAGAGGACGACTTCGACTGGGAGCAAGGAGACACCCGTGACCGACCAGCCAGCAACCCCTTGATCCCCACAGGTACCTGTCTGTCTGTCTGTCTGTCTGTCTCTCTGGATCCTCTTTTCTAGATTCAGCTGATTCTCAGAGACTCTGTCATGTGACAGTGTTTCTATAGAGTTGAGTCCCTCAGTGGACACTCTCAGTGTCCCTCCTGTAATGAACTATTGAATGATTCTTGAATGCTCTCTCTCTCTGTCTCTGTCCTCTGAGTTATGGATGGACAGAGAGAGTTCACAATGAACCACTGAGATAAGACCGTGTGTGTGTGTGTGTGTGTGTGTGTGTGTGTGTGTGTGTGTGTGTGTGTGTGTGTGTGTGTGTGTTAGTGTGTGTCGTTTGTCACATGCTCGCAGAGGTTAAGCCGCTGACGAATGAGAATGCAGCGCTCTTAAATCACAGAGCCAATCACGTGAGAGACAGGCTGAGCGAGGACACACAGAGAGGAGGTGGTTACTGTCCTCTTTAATGTGATTTATATGGAGGAGGAGGGGGAGGAGAGAGAAGAGGAGGAAATATGAGAGGAGAAAACAAAAAAGTAAAGGAAGAGAGGAGAGGAGGAAACTAAAGAGGAGAAACAGAAAGAATAAACAAGACGAGTTCGTCACCGCATCTCCTCCATAAAAGAGGTGTGTGTGTGTGTGTGTGTGTGTGTGTGTGTGTGTGTGTGTGTGTGTGTGTGTGTGTTGGGAGAGAAGCTGTTTGCTTTGTGATTGCCTGAATTGGCTGCAATTAGTCACACACACACATACACACACACACACCTCCTCCTCTTCCTTGTTCGATCTCCTCCCAGCTGATATGTGGAGCAGGGAACAGGGCGAGGCAGGGCATTAAATCTAACTAACCCTCCACCACAGAGCGGCTTGGCAAGCAAGGTAGAGTCAGAAAGGGAGAGAGAGAGACTAGTCCTGTGTGTGAGGGTGTAGTGTCATGTGACCCAGTACACCTGACATCATCATCTTCATCATTATGATCATCTTCATCATCTCCAACTTCATCACCATCTTCATCATTTTCATCTTCATCATTATCATCATCACCATCTTCATCATCATCGTCTTCATCATCATCACCATCTTTATCATCTTCATCATCACCATCTTCATCATCTTCATCATCTTCATCATCATTTTCATCTTCATCATGTTCATCATTATCATCATCACCATCTTCATCATCATCACCATCTTTATCATCTCCAACTTCATCACCATCTTCATCATCATTTTCATCTTCATCATTATCATCATCACCATCTTCATCATCATCGTCTTCATCATCATCACCATCTTCATCATCTTCATCATCATTTTCATCTTCATCATGTTCATCATCTTCATCATCATCATCTTCATCATTATCATCATCTTCATCGTCTTCATCATCTTCATCATCATCACCATCTTTATCATCTTCATCATCATCACCATCTTCATCATCTTGGTCATCATCATCTTCATCATCTTCATCATCATTACCATTTTCATCATCTTCATCATCATCTTCATCATCATCTTCATCATTATCATCATCTTCATCATCATCACCATCTTTGTCATCTTCATCATCATCTTCATCGTCTTTATCATCTTCATCACCATCACCATCTTCATCATCTTTATCATTATCATCACCGTCATCATCATCACCATCATCACTATCATCATCATCTTGATCACCGTCTTCATCCTTATAACATGTTCATTGTCTTCATCTTCATCATTATGACCATCTTCATTATCTTCATCATCATTATCATCCTCTTCGTCATCATCATTATCATTACCATCATCACCATCTTCATCATCTTCATCACCATCATCATCATCTGTTACTCTCAGTCACAGCTCAGGGCTGAACAGATGTCAGATCCCTGCTACAGAAACTACAGGTTGTTCTACCGTCACCTGCTGTAGTTTAAACGTGAGGATCTACACAGTATCTACTACAGTACCCAGAATTCCTACAGATTTCTTCTTCCTCCGTGGTGTCCAGGTGAAGCTGTCAGATATGAATCAAGACTGAGCACTCTGAGCAGGTCACTTCAGGTCACTACAGGTCGTCACTCTCACAGATGAAGCTTTAAATAGACACTTTTTAAATGGAACTTCTGCATGTTCAGGAAGGACCTGGATACAGCCAGAGGTCTGTACTGTAACTGGTTTAATACTGCAGCCACACACACACATACACACACACACACACACACACACACACACACACACCGAGCAGCAGCGAGGCATCGATTGACCAGTGATTGCAGGCTCCATTTAATGTTCTTATAAATGGTACAAGTTCAATCTAATCTGAACCATGTAGCCCTTGCTCTCTCTCTGCTGTCAGTGTGAACAACAGTAATCTTCTCTAATGCCCTTTACTGCCTCACAGACACACACACACACACACACACACACACACACAGTGTTTCAGGCTATCTGACTTCCTGACTCGTTAACAGCTGGTTTTTCTGCAGAGTCTGGACTCTGGTCTTTGTGAGTTTGCCTCAAAGGTTTTACAGCAGCTGTTTAACCTGCAGACGGTCGTGTCAGAGGTCAGATGTCAGAACAAAAACAATGACATCACTGCTGTGTCATTAGTCTGCTATTAGCTGACTGTTAATGCTGCTAATGTCAGTGTACAGGTGAAGCTAATAACGTCTACATACTGTACATTCAATGAGTGTCAACACCATCCACTCCTGGTCCTCTGATCCAGGTTAAGGCCAGAATCCACATCAGTCCTCCTCAATGTTCTGTTTCCTGACAGCTTCTGGTTGGTTCACTTTTTTACCTGTAGACACCTATTTCTGCTGCAGGTTCTTCACCTGTAGACACCTGGTTCTACTGCAGGTTTTGTTCCTGTTCCTTACCCACACATCACTTGTTTTTTGTTTGTCCACATCTGGTTCTTCTTCTGTTCTGGTCTCTAGTTCTTCTATTCTGTTCTCTGTTCACTGGTTCTTCTTCTGTTCTGGTCTCTGGTTCTTCTTCTGTCCCAGTCTCTGGTTCTTCTTCTGTTCTGGTCTTTGGTTCTGCTTCTGTTCTGGTCTCTGGTTCTTCTTCTGTTCTCTGTTCTCTGGTTCTTCTTCTGTTCTGGTCTCTTGTTCTTCTTCTGTTCTGGTCTCTGGTCTCTGGTCTCTGGTTCTTCTTCTGTCCCGGTCTCTGGTTTTTCTTCTTTTCTGGTCTCTGGTCTCTGGTTCTTCTTCTGTCACAGTCTCTGGTTCTTCTTCTTTTCTGGTCTCTGGTCTCTGGTTCTTCTTCTGCACTGGTCTCTGGTCTCTGGTTCTGCTTCTGTTCTGGTCTCTGGTTCTTCTTCTGTTCTCTGTTCTCTGGTTCTTCTTCTGTTCTGGTCTCTTGTTCTTCTTCTGTTCTGGTCTCTGGTCTCTGGT